CACACACGCACACAGAAACACACACACGTATACAAAAATGATGGCTCCTCCAGAAGCTGTTGCCAGCTTTATTTTCCCAAAAAGATGGGGAAAATATGAGCTTTTGGCTTCTTCCTCTATCCTCATCTAAATCCAACCTTTCAATCCTACAGAAGGAATTTGGAGATTTTCAGATCTGTGAAAGTAAATATGAAGTCTCTGAAATCTCTGTGTAAGAATAAAATGGTTGGTTGCCAGTGAGAGATGGAGGGAAGGGAGCTGAAAAATGTGTACTCCATGATCGAGGACTTCTAGCTAAAGAAAAAGAAAAGTGAGATCTTTATACTTAGGTTTATTTCTTGCCCCCAAATTGCCATTAGTGTATCACTACTCACCCCAATATTCTAGAATCAGCTGTATCAACTTAGAACAGGTCAGGGAAATCATTAGGGACTAGTTAGATTAGGGCACAAATTTCAACAGATTCAGAGAAAGGCTGTAGTTCCTGGGAGTTGTCTTGTCCTTAGAACATACACCCTGTGGTCCAAAGCATGTTTCTTTGTTTCATTTTGTTTGTAAGATGAGCATCTGTAACTTATAAAAGGCAGCATTATCTTGTGTGTGTTGACGAAGGTGGTTGGAGAGAGCTGGCAAATGGGTAGCACTGAGGGGCAAACCCTAATACCAGCGAAGGTAGTTGACAGACTCAGGAAAACAGGTCAAGACAACTAAAAGGTACAACTGCTAGAAAAATATAAGAAACTAAGTAAGCTATGTGTTACAGCAAAGAATTAATGTGATGAATAAACAAAAATGTGAATAGACTTTATTCACAAGAAGATAGAGAAAGATATTAGAAATATACCTTATGTCAATCAGCTAGGCATAAAGAAGGATCTATTGGAGATTCTGGGTGCCTATAAAATTTAAAAACAAGGTCAAAATAAAATAAAATAAAACTAAGAGAAGCTTAAAGCATTGAATGAACACTGCCAATAGATGAACTTGATCTATTTAGTGAAAGAAAAAAAAAAAAGCATAGTGAAATATTGCATATTTTGAAACGAGACACAAATAGATTATAATAGTAGAGTAATGCTAATGAATAAAAATAGGCTCTACTCACCAAATAAAAGCTAGAGACATACATTTGCATAAAAAGGAAAAAATCTAAGATTGGTAGTTCATAAGAAATAGTTCAAATAAAAATAATACAGAAAGCTTGAAAATGACAGATTGGAAAAAAGTATAACCAGCTAACAACACAAAAAATGCAGCAATTTTATGTTAAACAATAAAAATTTTTGATAGAAATCATAAACATGAATGGCTATTCTATACTAAGTAAATAATGTAATAATGAAGATATAATTAACATAATCATCATTAGCATATGAATACATAACAAAATAACTTAAAAACCAAAAAACTGACAACACTAAAGAGGAAACAGACAAATCAACAACTTTTGCTCGGTATTTTGTCATGAACTTTTCAGAACCTGAGGAATTAAACAGAGAAAAAGGAGTAAAGCTATTGATTATTGGAATAACATGATTAAGAAGTATAAAAATTCTTCATATTTGTTGGACATAAAGTAATAAATATTTCTCAATAATATATTTACATAGTCATGTTTACATATACGTAAAATTTTTGTCCAACAAAGACAACAGTCATAATTCTTAAGAATACATGGAGAATTCATGAACAGTAACCATGTCCTGATCTACAAATAATACATCAAAAATTCTAAAAAATAAAATAGGTTTTCACATATATTCTCCAACCAGCCTTATTAATTAGTAGGCATAATCTAGCATTAAAAGTATATATAAATTGAAATTGAAATTTTACTACTAGATAAATTTTGAGTTAAAAAGCAATCTAATTGCAAAAGAAACTATGAAGATCTTACAGAAAATTGACATATAGTTACTAACAGTTAAAATATATATATACACATGTATGTGTATATATGTGTTTGTGTGTGTGTGTGTGTGTGTGTGTGTGTGTGTGTGTAGAAAGGGAGAAAGAATGAGAGAGAGAGAGAAAAAGAAAGAGAGATGGAGCACTGTTCTGTAACCAGGCTGGAGTGCAGTGGCATAATCTTGGCTCACTGCAACCTCTGCCTCCCAAGTTCAAGTGATTCTCCTGCCTCAGCCTCCCGAATAGCTGGGACTACAGGCCCCACCACCACACCCAGCTAATTTTTGTATTTTTAGTAGAGACAGGGTTTCACCATGTTGGCCAGGATGGTATCAATCTCTTGACCTCATGATCTGCCTACCTGAGTCTCCCAAAGTACTGGGATTACAGACAGGTCTGAGCCACTGCACCCAGCCTAAAATCTATTAAACACAGCTAAACCAATGGTACTTAGAGAAAAATTCATATTTAGCTAAAGAAAAAAAATTTTTAAAAAATAAAAATTCAGAAAGAGATAAACTAAATAAAACATAGAAAAGATAACAAAGGAAATCATGAAGATAAGGGCAGAACTCAAAAAAATAAAAATTTGAAGATTATGAAAAGCCAAACTGGTTAGAGTTTGGGTTCCCTTTAAACTATCTTTTCAGCCATCATTTCTACAGTTTGTTACTGAAAACTGATTATTCAGAATTATTTAGAAAATATAGAGACAGCTCTGCCAAGTTTAGAGGGAAATTAGGTGATCAAATTAAAAAAATAAATTTATATACTCATCATAGTAACAAATAATTTTTAAAATATTATAATGACAATCAATACACTTTAGACTCAGAAAAATATATACATTTACAATAAAGTATGAAATGTTAATGGTAAAAAAGAAAAACAAGGAAAGTTAGATGAATCAAAAAAATCATAATTTTAATCAATTATTTTTCTTCTGTAAAGGCCATGCCCCAGTTGGTTGTAGAGCTGAATTCTATTCATTTATGGAATAATAAATCTCATTTGTACAAGTTCTTTGTACAATGAGGCAGAGAGCTGTCTTATTCTTTTTATGAAGCTAGTATAATTTTGTTTACAAAATTAGATAAAGATAATTCAGAAAAAGCAAATTACAGGCCTGATTTATTCCTGAATATAGAGGTAAATGTCCTAAATAATGTATTCCCTAAAATAATCCAATGTTGTACTAACAACAATGTAGCAAGATAAAAGAGGTTATAGCCTAAAAATACACATTATATGAGAAATTATAAAAAAGTCAGTCAATTTCTAGAAATTTATTTATCTATCTATAGATTTATATTGTATATTTACCTATTAATCTATATGTATGTGTATATGCACATGCATATACCATTTATCCATCTGTATTAATACATATATATATACATATATACATATATATGTGTGTGTGTGTATACATATATATATATATATATATATATATATATATATATATCACCTCTATAGATAGATGGAAACAAAGATTGTTAGACTTACCATCTTTGTGTGTGAAAAAATAAATATGGATTCTTCCTTTTCCCATTTATCAAGGTCAATCCAGGTTAATTAAATACTGGATGTAAAAGATAAAATTCTGTATATAATAGGAAAAAGAATGTGATTTGGGAGTAGAAGAGGACATGAATCGAACCATAAAGCATAAGAGAAAAAAATTAATAGATTTACCTATATTAGATATAATGCATTTAGTGGATATGGTAGAGTTAACAGATAAATAATAGACTGCAAAGAGATGTTTCCAATGCCTAAACTCCATAAGGAATTAAGATTTAAAAATATAATAAATAGCTCAATAAATCAGAAAAAAAGAGGAAAGCAAACAAAAATGAACGAAATATTTGAATAGGTAATTACTACTGAAGTGATCAAGAATACTGGAACAAAAAATGATTTCTCACTAATAACCAGAGAAATACACATTACAACAATGTGATACATTTTGACACCCTTCAAATTGTTGAAAATGAGTTAAGTAATACTAATTTGACTAACTTTAGAGAGAAAGGAAATGTCATGTGTTGCTGGTAAGAGTGTAATATAATTCTTTCATTTAAGTGAGCAAACTAGCCATATTTAGTGAAAATGGTTGTGTGTACCCTATCCCTTTTCTTGTGGAAATATGCTGTAGAGAATCCCTTGCACAGTAACTATATGTGAATTTGTTTATCACAGCACTATTTGTGGTTGCAGAGAGTTGGTTACAGCTGAAGTGACCATTACAAGAGCTGGGAATATTGTTACTGACAGCGAATCCATATGGGTCTGTAGCAACGTCAATTCTTGCCTCCTCAGAGGAAATAATTTGACTGAAGGGCATAAGGCAGAGTGAGAGACTGAGGCAAGTTTTACAGCAGGAGTGATAGTTTATTAAAAAGCTTTGGAGCAGGAATGAAAGGAAGTAAATTACACTTGGAAGCAGGTGAAGTGGGCAACTTGAGAGATAAGGTGCCCTGTTTGATCTCTGACTTGGGGTTTTATATATTGGCATACTTCTGGGGTCTTGCCTCCCTTCTCCCTAATTCTTCTTTTGGCATGGGCTGCCCACATACACAGTGGCTGGCTAGCACTTGGTAGGTGAGCATGAGCAGTGTATTTACTGGAGTTGTTCGCATGCTCACTTCAGGTGTTCTTCCCTTACAGTTGAAGGTCATATACCAGTTAAATTGTGCCATTTTGCCTCTTACACTTGAGCCCACTCACGCAACTCCTGAAATCTTGTCAGGAAACTGCTGATCATCAGTTTCAGGTTTTTTTTCTATTACGAGACTGCCTTTCCCTGCCTCTGGGTGGGACAAATTATTCTTTTAGAGAGACAGCGTACAACAGCCTGATTATCATCTAATGGTTGCCTGTCATTCCTGGTGGGGTTGGGGAGCCCTCTTCTGTCCTGCTCATGCTGAGTAGCTACCTACTGTTAACAGTATGAGCAACATTAGATATGTGTATGTGTGCCTTTGTGTGTAGAATCTGTGAAAGAAAAATAAACCTTGGGACCCCAAAATCAGTAAGCCAAAGGGAAAAGTCAATCTGGTAAGTCCATCGAGTAAACCTACCTTTCATTTTATTCCTAAATAAGATAGCTACAAAGATTTGTTTTTAAAGCTACATACCGCCCTCACAATTTGCCCACTAGGAAATTCCTTGTGGCCCCCAAGATCTTTACTCTAAAATGATTGTGTTGAATGTCACCATGACAGTGTATATTGAGAGCTTATCTTCACAGATGCCGGAAAATGGACAGACCTCTAAGTCATCCCTCGGCTCACCCGAGACAAATCCATGTCTGATTGTTTCCTCTGATTTAAAAATACAGAGTCACTGAACTATAGAGGAAGGCCTAAGTGGCAATTCCTCTACTCCTCTCTTGTATGTAGATTATATATTTGGTGAAAGGCTGATCAGATACTCAAAAGATTCAACCATTTGTCTCTTATTTACTCACACCTTTGTAGAATTTCTTCCTCTTTCCCCAATATCCATCCTTCCCCTTTTAAATATGGAAGGCCTCAAAATCATCTTTGGAGAAAGCACAGACCTACTTCTTGGGTATGTGTCCTAAAACTTGGCAAAATATATTTTTAATTGATTGAGACCTATGTCAGATACTTTTTGGTTCACAAATTCATGTATGTAATAAAATATTACATGTATTAGTATGCTAGGGATGCTGTAACAAAATCCCACAGACTGAGTGACTTAAACAACTGAAATTTATTTTTTCATCATTCTGAAGCCTGGAAGTCCAAGATCAAGGTGTCATCAGGGATAGTTTCCCTGAGTCCTTTCTCCATGGATGACGGGTTCTCTTGTTTATTCTTCACATGGTCTTTTCCCCGTGCACACCTGCCTCCAAAACCTCTTCTTCTTCTTATAATCCACCAATCAGATTAGTGTTTCATTTTAACTGAAACATCTCTTTAAAGACCTTATCTTCACATACAATTACATGCCAAAGTACTGGAGAGTTGGAACTTCAACAAATAAATTTTAGGGAGACACAATTCAGCCCATAACATAAAGCGGTTAAAATTAGAAGCTCCAAAGTACAGCTGGCAACCCAGATAGAATCTGAAAACTGCTGAGTGAAAAAATATGAGAAATATAATTCAACCTACTGTATAGCCCAACAAATTTTTTTTGGTAATCTACAAACACATAGATAAAAAATAATTACCATACATTGTAGAAGAAGGCATACACACTCACACACACACACACACACACACACACACACACACGATATTTAACATGAAAGTTGGAGCCAATGAAAGAGTGAAAGAATAGAACTGAAATTTTGTAAAAAGAAAAATAAACACTAAAAGAAGTGGTCTTTTATGGACTGATAATGATTGCATTCTGTAAACTGAGGAGTTTGATAAAATCAGCTTTCAAAATTGAGATGAAGATTTTAAAAGATGATAATAAAATGTGTGCAGATAGCTATGTTGCATAGACTTACATTACATTCAGAAATGTTTAGTTGATACTTTCACAGCCACTATTAAATTTTATTGCTAAAGTGTCATTAAACTATATACTAATTATTGGGTTTGTACAGTAGGGACACAAACAGGTAGAAGGACATTAGTTTTTAAAAACAGTGCTGGACAGAAGGAACAAAATAAGTAGACCCTGGAGTTCTAGATTAATGTGTGGTTACAACAAAACTAAATTGTTATTGCAGGGGTGAATACTCTTACAAAGAGAAACATGATAGCAGAATTTGCTGCTGGACTTGTTTTCATCTATAAGGGCTGGGGAGCTAAAGGATAAGACAGGGCATTATTTAGAGCCAACATCATGGAGAAGAACAATAATATCCTCACCTGAATTTTTTTCTGGTATCCTCCCCAAACTATATGAGCTAAATGAATTCAAAGCTTGAACCTGAACTATGTTAGAGATTATTTCATTTTTCTCCCTGAAATAAAGAGAGTTCTGGCTATACATAGAATTTAAATACAGATAACTTCACTGGAGCTTCTACCTTAAAATGACTTTATGTTCCAGCTAGATTTCTTTCTATTCATTTTTTGGTACAAATTAAGCATAATTTGAGCTTCATTGAGATTCTCACCTAAACATTTGATTCTTTGTGACCATGTAACATAGCAAACTGTATATAATAGTTACTACTCATTTATGAAATAAATATTCATTGATCACTTACTGTGTACCAGGAGCTATCCTAAAAACAAAATATTAAGAACACATTGTCAATAGTTTATCTTATATTCTTATAAAATAAATAAACAAACTAATATAAACATAGCATCATTTACAACACTGGGGAAGGTGTGTTCTGTTTGGGAAATTGGTGGTAAGTCAACTGGAAATGTTTTGGAGGCAGCTGGCTATGTGTGTCAGAATCTCAGAATATGTCCAGGAAATATAAATTTTGAAGTCATTTTCATCTAAGTGGTGGTTGAAGCCACAAAAGTAAATTAAATTGTTTAAAGAGAGTTTGTGGAATACTCAATTTAACATTAACTTTAATTAATTTGATAACTTAGATGCTTATAATCAATGTTTATATTATTCATGGAACCTTCCTATCTGTTCATGACTTAACAACTGTGAAGTTTTTTTAATTCTAATTTTGTTATAATTCTAATGGGAAGCAGCATTTTGCCATAGAAACAACCTTGTCATTCCAAATATGCAAACAAGGATTGAAATCTAGTGTGACATTTGATTTCTGAGTGGATACAATGATGTACCCAATGTAAAATGCATAGCACATAGTTTGAATTGAGAGTAAACTTTTTGGCTGGGCTCATTGGCTCATGCCTGTAATCCCAGAACTTTGGTAGGCCAAGGCGGGTGGATCAAGAGGTCAAGAGTTCGAGACCAGCCTGGCCAATATGGTGGAACCCCATCTGTACTAAAAATACAAAAATTAGCTGGGCATGGTGGTGCACACTCCTGTAGTCCCAGCTACTCAGAGGACTGAGGCAGAAGAATCGCTTGAACCCAGGAGGCGGAGGTTGCAGTGGGCCAAGATCATGCCACTGTACTCCAGCCTGGGCAACAGAGACTCTACCTCAAAAAAAAGAAAAAAAAAGTGTTAACACTTTATTAAATATTAGCAGATTTTGTTCTTTGTAAATTTGTCATTTTTGTGGACATGCAACAATAATTAGTTCAGGATCAATAATTATGAATTATTGAAAGATACTGAATGCCTCAATAAGAAACCAGGATTTTAATTGCCTCTAAACAACAACAATAACAAAAAAAAATCAAGGGGCAAAGGAGACAGAAAAGAGAGTTCTGTATTTCCATCCTACATGTATTATTGTTTCTTCCTTTCCTCTGAACTTTTGGTTATTCTTTCTTTGAAGCTCAGTCAAAAAGCCTGTGATTTAGGCTTTTAGTGCCTCTACAGTCTGCGAGGAGAAAATTATGCCTGGCATGATAGAAAGAAAATGGATTTAGAAATCAAATCCTATTTCAGGTCTTAAACTCATATTAACACGCCATGAACTAAGAGACATTACTACAATTTGGGGGTCTTCAGTTTTACTATCTATAAAAGGACGTTGTATATATTTGCCATGCATATATAATAGGGCCCTGATGAGAACAAAATAAAATGAGTATATATTAAAGTGATATTAAAAACATGATATTATAAGTTTACGTTTACTTAAAGGGACTATTACCATGTTATTCTCAGTATTTTAAAACAATATGAACAATATGATAATATCAATGCTTTCTTTTATTTTATCCCATTAAATATGCTGTCATAATTGCCAAGAAATGAGACTGACAGTATTTGCATGTGGAGCTTCTCATCTTAGTTGTTTTTTTTTTATTTTTTTTTTTTTGGCTTTTTTTCCATATTATCATCAATCTAGGATTATTTTTTTTAACTATCAGTTTGTACAGAGACTTCTTTTATAAGAAGCTGTGCTATAAACTACTGAAATTTATAATAATTATAATATACATTTATTCACTGATTCAAAAATACTATTACTTAGGAAAAGCACCGTTATCTTATGTTGAACTAAGATGACAAAAAAAGCACCAATACTTAAACTCCAATACACCTCAATCTTAACTTCTGAGTTGTTAAAATTTCAAGAAATATGCCTATCCAGGGTATGTAATAAGTGATAATAAATAGTGTCTTAAATATGTATAACTATTATAATTTAAAAATCAGTTTTTGCATGCATTACCTCATCTCAACATGGCATGATATTCATATTTCCCTTGATACAGAGAGGTGGAGGTCAGCCATAGTAGCTCACGTCTGTCATTCCAGTGCTTTGGGAAGCCAAAGCAGGAGAATCACTTGAGGCCAGTAGTTCCAGGCCAGCCCCGGCAACGCAGCAAAACCCCATCTTTACAAAGAGATAGAAATAAGTAAAATGAAGCTATCTGAGCAGGGTGGCATGCACCTGTAGTTCTAACTATTTAAAAGGACGAGGTGGGAGGATTGCTTGAGCCCAGGAGTTTGAGGTTATAGTGAGCTATTGACATTGGAGTTAAGAAAAAATCACTTAGGCAGATAGTGAGGGCATGATAGTCCTTGGTAAGGCTTTTATTTTTAATGAAAAGCAGCCCCAAATCATTTTCTAACAAAGAGTAGCCTGTGAAGTTGAGCTGCAGACATACCCAGGCAAGCTGGGAGCTTACACTGGTGAGTGATGGCAGGAACTAGGGACAAGATGTGTTCAAGATTGCAGCTCCATCTTTTCCTTCTCTATCAGCCACATGTATTCTAAGGAACAGACAAGATGGCCCTGGCCAAGTGGAAATTCATTTGCATAATGAGATTAGAGTGTGGCCACCAGCTTTCCCCTCGCACCATGTAAACATCGTACTTGATTCAGCCAATCTGTGAGCCCTAGATAAATCAGACACACCAATTCCTCAAGCCGAACTATAAAATCCAGAGCATCTGACACCATCCAATCTTTCCTCTTGGAAGTGCCCTCTCTCTCAATAGAGAGAGAGTTGTTTTACTTTCTCTTCCTTCTGTTTATTAAACCTCTATTCCTGAACTCCTCATGTGTCTCTGTGCTAAATTTTTCTGCTGGGAGATAATTAATCATGGGTACATACCCCAGACAACGTAGCCACTTCACTATGACCATACTACTGCACTCTAGCCTGGTCAACAGAGCAAGATCTTATGTCCAAAAGAAAAATAGTAATGGAAAATAATTT